CAATGACTGTCCGCATGTACACATAGGCTAGGCAGTCCGGAAGGTCAGAGATGGAAACGTTTGGCAGGGTAAATACACAAATAGTGTGAATTTAAAGAACGGCCCGATATGAACAGGCAGGCAGTTTGTAACCGCAGATTGGCTAAGTGTCTGCCCCGTGCAGCCCAATCGACCGGGCTGTGAACAGACTGCAAGGGGTGTGAACAAACCAAGTGAGCAAAACAGCGTTTAGGAATCACGGAGGGTAGGCTGAATGCGCAAATTGAAAGGTTCGATCAATGTTCATAGGGTGGGTAGTACAGTCAACCTGGGTATTGGCAAATGTCAAGGGAAACAAATTGTATAGGGGGCAATGGGATTTGGGATTCCGACGATAAAACAAACTGATCTTGACGGTACGATGCTTTGCATCAAATTAGGTTGGTCACTTGCAATGTATTCCTCATTCAATCTCTAACAGTTTTTTGGTATATTTTTCTCTTTTTCCACACAATTTGGCATCATATTAGACTGGTAGTTTGTAGATTACATTCTAATAAAACGCACTTGTTTACTATATAGACGATAACCGTGTACCAGTTCCGCCACTGCTGTTTGTAGCACGTACAAAATGCATGCAGCATACTCATTGTTACACATTGTACATATGTTTGTCTTATCTCAAATGTTTATAACCTACGACTTTCTAATACTTGGTTCTACTCCTGTTCCCAGCGGTCTTTCTCGGTTGTCCCTCCCTTCGCTATGCTCCTTGGTGGAGAACATTTTGGGGAATGTGAATTAAACTGTGAAATAGCGCTTTTGCCCGTGAACGGACGTAGTAACCGACAAGGGCCTACCTGAACCCTGGCTGTACCACAAAAGCATTCAACTGCACTCTTCACCACTATCGCTGTCCAATGTTGATAGCTGGACACTAACGAAATGTATATTTGATCAGCTAAGTTCAGAAACCAGAAACTATGAAAGTTTTACGTACCTATACTCACAATGATGCCACTGTTCGTGACTCTCCCGTTCGCAAAAGGCCTCAACTACTACGGCTGCCTAAACCAGTCTATCCGGTCAACAGACAGAGGAAACTGATAGTTACTCGACCGCGAATAATAAAGCGTGAACTCAGTCGGTAAGCTGCTTTGCCAGTTGTACGTTAATAACTTAAATAATTAGAACGTATATTTCTAGATAGCTACCTGAAGCCTTGCCCGCAAATGACCAGATCATCGTGCATACTAGTTACCTGCACTTAAAAGAATAAAACCACTATTAGGATTAGCAGTTCCTAAGTGCTAGAGTTTGGATTACCACAGTTTGATGGCTTTTACCGTATAGCATCGTCGGCCATTCCGCTGGTATTCATGCATATTTCAGCAATCGCGATTGTGGTTTATTCCTTGGAATACAAAACTCTAGCCTTTTTAAATACATTCCATTATAGAGCAGACCATTCAAGCATTCAAGTCAATTTCTAAATATATTTGGTTCCACTTTCAGTAGTTTTTTATGCGCGTTATGGGATGGTCATGGAAGAGAAATGATGGCGAGGATAGCAGAAGCGGTAAGGGTAGGTTAAAAACTTACTTCCACGACGGTAACTAGAAGGATTAAATACATTGTGAACGCTAGACTGAATAGAGCCGTGCAACGTGCTAATAAAACTGGTAAACAAAAATGCATCTAATGGTTCCTGTTATTATGTAACCTTGAGCTCCGCAACCATGAGCTTCAAGAAGAAACGAAAAAGCCGGTTTTTAGCCTAATTATTGATTATAATAGATATATAAACGCTTAACTTGGTAAATCATGAGCCCTTGATATAATAAAAGAAAAATAAAAGCATTTTACAGTCGTTTGCAAGTTATGTGGTAATTTCATACAAAGTAAATGTTTGCGCCTGCTAAATATGGCACATTTGTTTAGCTAGCAAATACAATGTAAAAAGAAAGCAAACGGTATATAGATTAGTGCTATGTCTTCTCTATAGGGTGGTGCATCTAGGAAGGTGCAAGGTGGCTCAAGATTACTAGAAGTTATTAGGTGCGACATGAATGATCAAAAACGGGTTTCCCCAAGCTTAAGCCATAATAAATAGAAAAAGTGATGGAAAATCTCGCTAAAACGTTAAGTAGCTATTAAAAATATTCAAAGAGATTTACGGCTGTGTTTCAGGACATGGGTGTGTTCGTCTGGCAAGCGTGCTTCCTATAGAAAGCCAAATTGTTCTTTTAACAACACTTCAACTTGGAGGATGTGGCTCGCCACTAAATACCTTCACTTTCATCAACTACATAAGAGCAAGTTAATACGACACCTATTTTAATTCTTCCTTGACAAAT